GGGCGGGGTGGGGCGCTATTGCTCTCCCACACGGCGCACGCCAGCGGGGGACTAAAGTCGGACACAAAGCTGTTTGTGTGAATCGCTTCCCTTTATAAGCAAAATGGATGATTGGTGCGCCGCGCACGATGGTGACGGGCCGTTTGGAGAAAAACCGATATTTCCGATCGAATTGTTTGTTAATATGGCGATTTTGAGATATAGAACCGAACTAAATTATTAGGCGCTTCGATTGTATTCTCTATTTTAGTTTTTATTGGTTCTGACGAAAAAATAATTATGCTCTTTTGCTTCTTTTTGTTTCAGCCGTCGGAGTTCTGCCGGTCAAAGAGTAGGTATCTTGGTGCATGCACCTATGACTGATCGCTATAAAACCACGCTTAATTAACCCTGACTCTTTGTTTTGTCCTCGTAACGTTCACCGGGAGTCGATTTGTTTACTATGGAAATGAGGCGTACCGTTGGCGTCCTTGCGTTGACGCGCACACAGACAGATAGACAAAACCGATCTCTGCTTCCTGTTTCCGCCAGCAAAAGCAACGACCCCCTCACCTGGAGGATCGTCCCTGACCGGCCGGAACCGCCGGCGCCGCCGCAGCAGCAGTCACCGGCTCAGCAGCTGCAGCAGCTGCAGCACCCGCAGCAGGCTCATCAGCTGCAGCAGGCGGAGACGACGGAGCTGCAGCTGCAGCGGCTGCAGCAGCACCTGCAGCAGCACAAGCAGCACCAGCAGCAGTCACCTGCGCACAATGCGGGCGACATCGTGCGCATGGTCATCGAAGTGCCCCCGAAAGCCAAGCTCGGCTGTGGGTAAGTTGAAGTCAGTATGTGATGACCTCCACTGTGAAAAATAGTTCTACTTTTTCCGGGAAAATTTTCCATGAAGCGTGTCAAACTTATTCAAATTGTAAAATTAAACCACAACGTATCGACTTTGGGGTGGCAAGATTTGGGCGCTACCAATTTACAACATTAATTATCTTACAAAACATACTCTGGAAACTTAGGTGTGAGAAAGTCTAACACCAAATGGTGTGAGGAAAAATACCTCACACCAAACGGTGTGAGGCAAACATACCTCACACCAAATGGTGTGAGACTCGTTGTGCCTCACACCAAATGGTGTGAGACTCGTTGTGCCTCACACCAAATGGTGTGAGACTCGTTGTGCCTCACAGCAAATGGAGTGACACTTTCTCACACCAAATGGTGTGAGACACAGAGGGTCTCACACCATTTGGTGTGAGGCACAACTAGTCTCACACCATTTGGTGTGAGGTATGGTTGCCTCACACCGCTTGGTGTGAGGTATTTTGCCTAACACCATTTGGTGTTAGACTGTCTCACACCCGAGTTTCCAGAGTAATGTAAATTACCGATGATATTTTTCCCAGTGTAAGAGGGTCTTTGCCCAGCCTGATAAGGTCACACATAGAACGCACAGGTTGCCTCGCTAACTGTAAGCGTAGGACTCTTTCCCTCACTCTTACTGAGATGTCGGAGCGCGAGGCGCGCTCGTCCGTCACGTCATTCGTGCTGACGAATTGTCATCGGCCAACTAGGAAATCCCTGTTGAGCGCCCCGGCCGGGCGCGACTCGCCCCGGCCCCGGAGCCCTAGTTTCTCTGTCCACCTGTCTCCTCCAGCTGGTGGCCTGGGGGCTGGACCGGCACCAGCCTCCAGGCTCCAGCCTCCAGGCTCCAGCACCCAGTGACACACTCTGTTCCAGGATCTGCCGCGGGCCCGACTGGCGGCCGGGCATCTTTGTCCAGTTCACCAAGGAGGGCGGGCCGGCGAGGGACGCCGGGCTGCGGCCGGGGGACCAGCTGCTGCAGTGCAACGGCACGCCCTTCACCGACATCCCTTTCTCGGAGGTACGCTTCTCTGACCGATTTTGACTAATTTCAATGTTGCAAAATAGTGTGTGAGATTTGCGAGGCGGCCACCACTGCAATTTAGGATGTACAAAGGATTACGTGATTACAGGGATTACACATGAATTTTGTTAAATTTCAGGCTTTAAAACCACTAAATTTGGACAATAAGGTGAAATTTAGTGATATTAGTGCTAATAATTTTCAAATTTGGTCAAGTATTTCACGGATTACATAAGGATTTCATAGGGATTACACCCTCATCTGTACACAGGATTACGCGAGTGGTGGCCCCCTCGGAGATTTGATTGAACTATTCGCGTTTTAAAGATCTGCCTCGAATTCTTCACAGAAATACCGCTATTTGCTTTCTTGGTGTGATGTGCTCGTGTCTTACGCTGTTCGTGGTGCTGCAGGCGGTGTCGGCGATGAAGCTGTCTCCCACCCTCGACCTGCTGGTGCGCCGCGGCGCCGGCTGCGACCTCTTCCCCGGCGAGTCGTCCGGCTACAACTCGTCGGCGAGCTCCGTGGCGGGCGGGGACTCGCCCTCGTGGGACGACCAGCCGGCCGCCCCGGACACCGTCGGCGGCCCACAGCTCCACCTCCAGCGAGGCCACCAGCTGCACCACCCGCCTCACCAACAACTGCACAACGGAGGCGCGCCCGGCGGGCCGAGGCTCCGGGACCAGGACCAACCCCTGGGGAGGCCGTCGGGACCCTCGGGGTGGACGGCGAAGGGTACGCGACATGGCTGAGGCACCACGATGTGCGCCTTGGCTGACTGTCTCTGTCTCTATCATGTACTTTTCCCTGCTCGTCGTACGTCTCAGCTTGCTTACCTCGCCAAATCCGGTCAAATCCTTTGTTTCCGGAAGCTCTACTCCCCTGGCACTGCCGTGCACAACCATGAGTGACCCCCCCCCCCTAAACCTCACAATCTCATCTGGCTAGCGCGCTCTCTGCCGTTCTTCGATCACCATGCTCGATCATTTTTTTCTGTTTTACAATCACTTTCGGTTTCTGCACCCCCCCCCTCTCCGGTTCTCCCACATGCAGTCTCATCCAGGTGACACCGTTTAATAAGTCGATATAGAAAGCCTCCCCATCATCGGGCGGAAGGAAGTGCTCGGTGCGCCACCGCCCGCCGGGACGCTTGCATGCGATGCGGCTGGTTAAGGCAGTGAAACAAGGCGGGGCGGGGCGCAGCCCGGCGGGTCAAGAAGGCGATGAAAAAGCCTTTACGGTCGATCGGCTCGTTCGGCCGGCGGACGTCCGTCGGTTGTGTCAGCGGCTGTAATAGTAATATTCACTCCGCGGCTCGGCCGGCCCCGCGGCGGCTTTACTGCCGGCGTTGGGCAACGAAGGGCTCCAGAGCGGCGCGTTACTGACCGCCCGGGGGGCAATGATTGGACCCATCACGGATACCGTTTCTTTCCGATCTACAAAATATTCACCGAGTGCCCCGTGCTTCAAAAATGCATTCGCACGTTGTCTCATTCCCCCCAAAATACACCAGAATGTAAACCAGTCGTGCATTCTAGAGACGAAAAAGCAATACATTCGTGACGAGCGTTTGGTCCATTGAAGCTGGGAGTGATTGATGAAAATCTGATGAGAATCGAAGGGGGCCTTTTTGAATGGCGATACATTTCGCGCGCGAGCCGGCGGCCGGCGGGCTGGTGTGCGCCGCCAATCAGAACTCAGGAGAGGCTCATGCGTGTCAGTCGCCGTGACCGATCCCCTTTGCCTAGGCCTTTTCCTTCCCATCCCGAGGATTTCTCTTTCGAGTCGGGTCGGTTGGGGAGGGCCTAAGTACAGGCGAGGAGAATACGGCTCACTGATTAGCTCCTCTCCCAGTAACCCTCCACGCCAACGCCGCCCGTATGTCCGATCCCGTCCGTCCTTCCACCCGTCCGGCAGTCCCTCCATACCTTTGTCTGTCTTTCACACCTAGTACAACCTCTTGGCCCGTCCGTCTGTCTGTCCTTAACTATTTTGTACTACCAGGTGGTTGATTAGCCGCGCTCACTTCTGTAGTTGTGCTGAACCGCACGCACGAAAGGTCGCGGGCGGGCTGGCCTATCAGCCTTGTCCTTACGGGCCGAGCGAGTAGGCAACCCGCCCGCACGAGTGCGTGCGGTACAGCACGACTACAGAAGTGAGCGGGGTTAATCAGCCTCCTGGTATTGTATACAAACTCATGTGTAGGTCTATTCGCACACATAGTTCCGTAACTAATTTCACTTAATCAATGTGTGCGCATTGACCTACGTATGCTGCTACGTACAAAGTAGTACATAAACATGTTTCTGTGTGCTGCTCATGTTCAGAAGACCCAGACCCGTCGCCCGTCGCCCATTAACTCCTTCCTCTGACCCGCAGGCAACCTCTGCACCGTCATCAGGCTGGAGAGCCCGGACAACGGCTGGGTGTCCGGCACCCAGGACGACGTGGACGCGACTACCGTCAGGGTGAGTGGCCAGCGCGGGGACAGCGCGGCGGAACGGAGCGCCTGTCCTGTCACGCTGCGTACACCCGCCTGTTCTGCCGGTTCTGTTCTCGCCTCTCCTGCTCTATCCCCGTCCCCGTCGGGGGAGTCAGGTTGCTTCAAATGAGGATGACGCAGATGAGAGCGGCGGTCGCCCCGCGGTGTGTCGAAAAAGAAATCGCAATGACCCCCTCCTAATGCCGTTGCAGCCGGGGGACCGCACGACGACGGTGGTGGTGCAGGTGCACCGCAGCGAGGCCGACGACGACGAGGACGACGACAAGCAGGCGGCGCCCGCCGCGGTAGCCGCCGGCCCGCCCCCGCCCGGGCCGCCGCCCCCGGGCCCGCCCGGCCCCCCGAGCCCCGCGCCCTCCTCGGCGGCGTCCATCTCCTGCTCCTCGGGCTCGCTGTCCTCCAACTCTCTCTCCTCCGCCATCAGTCAGGAGCTGCAGCGGCGGAGCGAGGTAAGTGGCACAGCGCGCGGCGCGGTGCTGCGCGGGGTAGCGCCGCGCCAGGGGTACAGCCGAGCCAGAGGGGCTGCCTACGCCGCCCGGCGCGGCTACAGAGTCGGCAGTGCGGCGGCGCCCGGGAGGCGGGCAGCCCAACGCGCACAGAGGCTCCGACGCTTCCCCTTTCCCACGCGCAATAAGGTCCTACTCGGGTGTTTACTCTTTACGTGCGAAAAGTGTGGTCTATACGCACCCTTTAAAGTTTTAAAGTGGCTTTAATTGCTATAGAGTGCTTGGGAACAATGTGAGCTGCATAATTAAGTAAGCCGTTTAGTAGTCCCGGGATAAAATTTTAGCTGACTGTCAGACGAACTCTACTCACAAACAGCTGATTTAAAAACTGAGTTGCTACTGATCGAGAGCCGACTTAAGGTGATTACTTAAACTGATCGAGGCAACTTTTGCTGTGTTTCTGACATTGTTTGCTGATTCTCAGGCGTAATTTGATGAAAACTGAAAATAGCTGACAGACCGTCCAGAATTATAGCTGAAAAAACGTGACAACAGCTGCGTACAGTTAATACAATACTGACGGTAACTGAGCTAAGTGCCGTATCGTTTCCTGAAATTAGCTCACACAGAACTGAGTATAACTGAGTTTCATTTTATTCCAAAAAAAAAAAAGAACGCCAGTATTGGAACCATCAAACTTCGGACTGTGGGCCAGCACTCTAGACCACTACGCTATGAGTCCGTTCCTCTGCGGATAGAGTCGGGTAGAGTGTCTTTCCAACGTGACCTAACCGCCATCTGCGGCTGACTGACATTAACTGCATCAGCTGAATTAAGATAACTTAGCTGAATTAGGCGACGCTCTGTTTACAAGTTCCTAGGTAGAAAATTTCTAAGTCCTCTGCATTTACTAAGTGTCTCGAGCTCAGCCGAGTCAAAAGACGTTTTGATGAACTTCGGCTGATGTTGTCTAAAAGGTTAAACTCAGTTAAGGGTCAGCTCTGAGTCAGCAACTCAGTTACTGGCAAAAGTCTG